ACCCCCCATACTATTTGGTTGCTGGTAGATCTCAAGCAGATTGTATAGTCAGGTTGTAAGGCGTATGGTCAACCTTGAGACCTGATTGTTATAGGCTCCCTACCCTTTGCATCGTCCTGTCCACCTTTGTTGGTCAGACAAGTAAAACATGTTGTATTACAGCTACAGGAAGGTGGTGTCTAACAACTGCACAGACGGAGTCCGGGAACAGTATACCGCAAAGTCTCAGCAGTGCCCAGGGAAAGCGCCCCGTGGCCTCCGTGTTACTACAGTGGATGGAAAATTAATAGCAGAACAAGGACACAATGTAACATTTGTACTGCAGTTAGACGAGGTATGTGCCCTGTCCTCAAACCATCTCATTGTTATGCCTTTCTAGACTCATGAGAAGCATAGGCCTAAAGCCATGCACAATATGTAACCATGCCCAAAGATGATCACTGAGATAGACTAAGCTGGAGAAGGTGAAGGCTACAGTTTTCTTGAATTTTTAACATAACTTCATAGCCAGTGCCAGTCACAGTTATATTGTGCGCATAGAGTAATGTGACATAGTCTATAAAGCCTGTCCTTACCATGAGTCCTGGAATGGCATTAGACTAACCCAAGAACCCACTTGAGGACATAAGCAATCAAAGGAACTCCAACGTCTGGCAAGGTCGAACTACCAATAAAGTTGTGATGACCATGCTCATAAAATGGAGGAATGGGTGGGCAAGTCGTCTGAGGTCTGAAGGTCTTAGAGTCAGTGGTGGTCATGGGGACCACCAATGACTCCCTGTTTTTATACTGTTCTAGTAGAAATGCTGTTTTTTTTATTTATTATAGGCTGATTTGTTTTTCTACATTTCATTAAAGGAGAACTATGGGGTCAGTGTTTTTCCCCATAGTTCTCCTAAGCTCAGTATATAGGGAGCTACAGCTCGCGGTATACTGAGACGCCGCAGCCAGAGCGGATCCCGACGTAGATTACGGGATCCGCCAAGCTGCGTGAGTGACAGCTGGCTCTGCCTACCTAGAGGCAGAGCCAGCTGTACCTGCCCCCTCCCCCGTCCGTTCCGCCAGTCAGCGCTGGCAGATCGGAGCGGGGAGAGGGGAATCCAGCCCCTCCCCCTGTCACGGCAGAGAGCCATGACAGGATCGAGAGGTGAGCGAACCCGGTATGTGTTCGCTCACCTCCCGATCTACTGAGCCAACCTGTGACAGTCTCATTGTCACAGGTCGGCTAGAACTATGAGGTGAGTGGAAATCACTCATCTCATAGTTTTCCATTTAATTTATTATTTTAAATAATATAATTGTATCTGACTGGTACAATTTTAAATAAATGGCACTGCAGTTTGAAGGTGGCAGTGTTCACCTGCAGACTGAAGGCTTATTTCCTCAATGAAGTCTCCAGCCTGCATGTGACCATTGTGTCATAGCTAACAAAGTGATCACGTGAGTGAAAACCACTCCGATTACTTCCCAACCATCAGTGTGGATCCCGGCTGTCAGTGACAGCCTGGATCGATAGCCAGCAGTCGCGCAAAGAGTTCTCTGCTGGCTCCCAAAGGGGGACATTTAAACAGATGTCGGCCAGAAAGTGGTTCAATCAGATGTCCTTATCTGCATTCCTGCTCTAGGTTAGAGACTAATGGTACTGAAACAGAGGGGTCAGCATGACAGCCAGGCAGCTGGCGTTCACAGAATAAGAAGTCAGCAGTAGAAGCCTTCAGAAAATGTTTCCTTTAATTGGAAACAGGACGTCCTCACAGCTGTTACAATTTACCAAAATTCCCTAATCAATGTCCAATTACAGTCGGTAGAAATCACGGCTACAGACAACTGGCTATGAGGAGAACAAAGGGAGATTAATGCGAAGAAGAAAATAGATTCTTATTTGTGTAAACAGAACATAATGTGCTACATTAAGAAATGTCAGGGAGCAGAAATCCGATCAAAACCACAGCAGCATAATACATGGTATTGAAGCTAATAAAAGGAGTAAATAAAAGAATACAAAGCTATCCCCGGAGGGAGGGTAAGGCTGCACATTCATTTGCATCTGACAGGTAATCAGCAGTGGAAAATTAGCTATTAGCTTAGCTGCCTTTTATTTAATTTCAGCGTGTTTGCTGAAAACTTTAATCACAAAGATGAAAAAGCGCCACTCCTGTATATACCTTTGTATTATTTGCTGAAAACTTTGCAACTCCCTCCTCATTGGCCTACCTCTACACATCCTATCCCCCCTTCAGTCTATCATGAATGCTGCTGCCAGACTCATCCACCTCATTAACCGCTCAGTGTCTGCAACCCCTTTCTACCAATCCCTCCCCTGGCTTCCATCCCCACCCCGCTCTGCCAATCCCTCCCCTGGCTTTCATCCCCTGCCAGTTCCTCCACTGGCTTCCATCCCCTGCCCCTCTGCCAATCCCTCCATTGGCTTCCATCCCCTGCCCCTCCGGCAATCACTCCACTGGCTTCCATTCCCCTGCCCCTCTGCCAATCCCTCCACTGGCTTCCATCCCCTGGCCCTCTGCCAATCCCTCCATTGGCTTCCATCCCCTGCCCCTCCGGCAATCACTCCACTGGCTTCCATTCCCCTGCCCCTCTGCCAATCCCTCCACTGGCTTCCATCCCCTGGCCCTCTGCCAATCCCTCCATTGGCTTCCATCCCCTGCCCCTCCGGCAATCACTCCACTGGCTTCCATTCCCCTGCCCCTCTGCCAATCCCTCCACTGGCTTCCATCCCCTGGCCCTCTGCCAATCCCTCCATTGGCTTCCATCCCCTGCCCCTCCGGCAATCACTCCACTGGCTTCCATTCCCCTGCCCCTCTGCCAATCCCTCCACTGGCTTCCATCCCCTGGCCCTCTGCCAATCCCTCCATTGGCTTCCATCCCCTGCCCCTCCGGCAATCACTCCACTGGCTTCCATTCCCCTGCCCCTCTGCCAATCCCTCCACTGGCTTCCATCCCCTGGCCCTCTGCCAATCCCTCCATTGGCTTCCATCCCCTGCCCCTCCGGCAATCACTCCACTGGCTTCCATTCCCCTGCCCCTCTGCCAATCCCTCCACTGGCTTCCATCCCCTGGCCCTCTGCCAATCCCTCCATTGGCTTCCATCCCCTGCCCCTCCGGCAATCACTCCACTGGCTTCCATTCCCCTGCCCCTCTGCCAATCCCTCCACTGGCTTCCATCCCCTGCCCCTCTTCCAATCCCTCCACTGGCTTCCATCATGTGCCCCTCTGCCAATCGCTCAACTGGTTTCCATCCCGTGCCCCTCTACCAATCCCTTTCCACCCAGTCATCCTGTAAGTAAGAGCAGTGACAACGTAAGTATTGTTCTAAACATTGGTTCACCCATTCTGTTTGACCATTGGTTTGTGGATGGTAGGAGCTGGACAGGGACAGGTCTACGTTTAATCTAGTACAAAGGGCCTTCCAGAATTTGGAAGTGAATTGTGTTCCGCGATGCGATATGAGTACGGAGGGAACACTACCTGTCCGAGTCAATCCATGACATCCACTGGCTTTCATCCCCTGCCCCTCTACCAATCCCTCCACTGGCTTCCATACCGTGCCCCTCTACCAATCCCTCCCTGACTTCCAATCGCTCAAAGGATAACATTTTAAATATTAACAACCACTTACAAAGCCATCCACAACTCTGCACCCGGCTTTATCTCCAACCCCATCTCTAAATATTACCCTAACCGTCCCCTCAGCTCCTCCTAAGACCTCCTGCTCTTTAGCTCCGTCAACCCCTCCCATGCTCGCAGCACAAGGAGCTAATTTAATTGTGTTGCAGTGCAAGGAGCATGTTAATAGTCCTTCTCCTTTCACTGTCCGTCCACAGGCTGGAGGTGCAGACAAGAGCTGTAAGTGTTACTAACTGCAGTATAGAATAATCAGGTCTTCTGCCCCGCTGGACAGGGCTGTGCTGTGTGTGGCATTGCGGTGCAAATCCTAGGACCGGGTGGATAGAATTGACTCTGGCAGGTAAAATAGCTCCCATACGGGGCTGTCTTTAATGCAGGGCAAAAAGGGCAGTTGCCCCAGGCCCAGTCATTGCTGTGGGGCCCTAAGCAGCTGCCCCTTGAGCCAGCAAAGATACACATGTGACAGCGTTCTGGTTACCATGCAATTGGCATCGCATAGTGTTGCTCTGCACCTGCCGTACGCTGTGAAGCATGACCTTGTGATGTGCCATGCGGGGGTCCCATCTTATGCGGGGTCACGTCTTCTCCTATCTGCTCTTATCGTGTGATACAGGGCGGGGTATGGTGGGGGGGGCAAGAAAATGTTAGCCTGGGGTGCAATCAATATTAAAGATGGCCCTGCCCCCATATATGTATTTCATTGCTGTATTAAGCTGTTTGAAAGGAGTTCAGCCCCCCTTTTTGTATTTCAGTGACCTCTATCTCCTTGCTTTAGGCTGGAGCTAAAAGTCAACCGAAATCTCTGTTATGCAAAATATCATTTTTTTTTTTTGGTAGAAATCTAAAGAAATAAAAGCCGCAAGGTGTTGCAGGCGTGATCAATACAGCATTACAAGAGAACAAATCTATAATTTTTATGTTCAATAAAGATTTTCTTTTCTTTCTGCTCTCCAATTAAAGCGCACGGCGTCGGCAGGAGAAGGAAAAAAGGGGGGACGCTTCTTTCTTGTTCTCTGGCAAAGCGCTGGCATCACCCGATAATAAAACCGGCGACTTATTATTTCCTATTGGCATTCAAGCGCAGGAGTTCTTTATTATTTCTGCTGCAAACATATAAAAAGGCCCTCTGCATTGCCGTAGCATTAAAAAGGAGAAGAGCCGGCGTTACCCAAGCGTGATAATGGATGAGTTTAATAGAAAGTTCCTTTAAAAAAAAAAAGATACAAAGTGTAATATATGTAGCGTAAAAATGAGACCTGAGTCAATTTTATTATTCGAAGGGATACAGATATTTGTCTACTATAAAAGGAACACTAAAAACGTAGAGCAACATAAAGTTAACCACCCGTAACTGCGAGGTTAAGCCACCCAAAATTAATATTGCAGCTTTTGGATCCATGCTGCCAAATCCAGTGGGGGGAATTTATCAAAACTGGAGCCTACAACATCTGGAGCAATTGCCCGTGGCAACCAATCAGCTTATCTCTTCAGTTTGTTCAGTTAAGATTTGAAAATTAAAGGGAGAAGCTGATTGGTTGCCATGACCAACTGCTCCAGATTTTGATAAATTCCCTTCAGTATCTCTCTTTTTTAGACTGTGAGGGTCTATGCAGGGCCGGATTTCCATTTTGGGCGCCTGTAGGTAGGAATGTCTACAGTTTAGCCTGGAGCTATGGAGAGAAGGACCCCCACGTCGCGTAAGGCTGCCCTTAGCACCTGTCTGCATCAGACAGGCATTTTGCAGGGCAGTCTTAAAGGAGAACTATGAGGTGAGTGCTTTTCACTCACCTCATAGTTCTAGCCGACCTGTGACAATGAGACTGTCACAGGTCGGCTCAGTAGATCGGGAGGTGAGCGAACACATACCGGCGTTCGCTCACCTCTCGATCCTGTCACGGCTCTCTGCCGTGACAGGGGAGCGGCTGGATT